TATGCAGATATCGCAAAGCCACTGACCGATCTCTTAAAGAATGACGCTCAATTCCAATGGGGAGAAGAGCAAGAGCGGAGTTTCGAGAGATTAAAAGAAATCATTACATCCGCCCCACTGTTAAAATCTCCTGATTTTACCAAACCTTTTATACTGGCTACAGATGCTTCTAACGAGGCTATAGGAGCAGTATTATCACAAGAAGATGAACGAGGAGAAATGCCAATCGCTTATGCCAGTCGCATATTGCGGAAATCCGAGAAAAATTATAGTACTACTGAGAAGGAATGTCTAGCGGTTGTTTGGGCTACCAAATATTTCAAACCTTATTTATACGGCAGGAAATTCATTATTCTCACTGACCACAGACCATTGAAATGGCTTATGAGCAATAAAGACTCTAGCACAAACTCACGAATAGCTCGTTGGATTATATTTTTGCAAGAATTTGAGTTCGAAGTAAGGCATAAAGCGGGAGAATGTCATAGAAACGCCGATGCTTTAAGTCGCATTCCTATCAGACAAATCGTAGAGACTGAAGACGACCTTGACCCAATATACTCCAAAGCCCAAATCAGAGATTTACAGAGACGAGATCCAAAATGGAATCCTATAATTCAGCAACTAGAAGATGAAACCGCACAAGATCCAAATCTTAAGAACCAATTCTTCTTAGATGAGGAAGGAGCTCTTTATCATTTACAACCTAGCAATCAAGGAGACTTCCTAGAACAATTAGTCATTCCATCCGTATTGATTCCATATATACTACATACTTATCATGATACTCCTGTCGGAGGACATTTGGGAGCACGAAGAATGCAACAAAAACTCCAGACTTTATTTTATTGGCAGACCATGAACAAAGACATAAAAACTCATTGCCAAGAATGTCAACGATGTGCTATACACAAGCGAAAGGACAAACGAACAGAAGCTGAACTACAGTTATTCTCTCCCCTCACACATTTATTTGAACGGACAGCTATGGACATTATCGGTCCTTTGCCTATTACAACCAACGGAAATAAATACATCCTAGTTTTTGTGGACCATTTCAGCCGATATGCAGAAGCAATACCTTTACCCGATATTCATAGCAAAACTATCGCCAAGGCCTTCGTTACCAACATTGTTTTACGCCATTCAACTCCTGTACAACTTCTTACAGATCGAGCCCCAAATTTAATCTCCAAGATGTTCAAGGAAGTATGCGAATTGCTTCATATTAAGCGACTTCTTACAACCGCTTATCACCCTGCATGCAATGGGATAGTTGAAAGATTCAATAAGACCCTTGTTGATATTATCTCACACTATGTAGCCAAAGACCAAAAGGACTGGGATGAATGGATTCCCTACGCCTTATTTGCATATAACACTACCGTCCACGCTTCTACGAATGACAGTCCATTCTTTCTGTTGTATGGACGAGATCCAATTTACCCCTTTGACCTTATCACCCGTCCGACCAGAACTAAATACGATGTAGAAGATAACTTCGCATCGGAACTCCACCTTCGAATGGCCAGTGCCCATCAATTAGCACAAGAATATGCTGAAGCAGCAGCCAGAGAACGTCAAAAAATACATCGCCGAACTCATAAAATTCCTACATATCAGGTAGGCGATCGAGTCTTCCTTAATGAAGTTGTCCTACCTCAAGGGTTAAAAAGGAAATTAGCACCCCGATGGTCCGGCCCATTTCGTATCATATCCAAATTAAGTCCTGTCACGTTCCTTATTGAAAATATTCAAACGAAGAAACAACTCCAAGTTCATGCTAATAGATTGAAACATTGCACCGCTAGACAAGAATTCGAAAGGTCAGAAAGTTTAGACCGATCTCCTACACCAACATCTACACAACCTAAGGTATTATCCCGCCAACCTTCCCTAAGTGCAGACCCATGGGACGAATTTATCCTCACCGAAATTCAACCACAACCAGAAACGGATTTAGAATCAGAGGAAGACGATTCCGAAAGTGAAGAAAGAATAATAGAATCTACCCCTAGAGAAGAACCAAGAGAACCTACTTCCTCTCATTCTTATGCATTACGCAGCCGGGGACCAGTGGAAGAACGTCCCTGGATTCTCCCGACCCCTAGACGAAGTCGAATTCCCAAACGAAAGGCTAGCCCGCCAAAGGAAGGAAATAGCGGTCAATCAAAAGTAACAAGACAGAGTTAATTAGGACAACAGACAAAATTTACAAGAGAGAGAGAGAGTAGATTATAAATCCATTAAACCTCTGTATAACGCGAAAAAAAATCATATTGTCGGAAATAATTAATTAGAATGATAACCATATCATAAAAATAATCATATCAATGTCGGAAATAATTCATGTTAGTATTATGCACTCAGAGAGAGAGAGAGACTTTTAAATATTATGTGTTCACAAAACGGGTCTTTATCATTGTCAAATCAAATTTCATCGAAAATCACAAGAACCTCCAGGAAACACCCTACATCCTCTACCTTCCATTGAAACTTCAGCTCCTTAAAATCGATCTTGCTCACTCAGAACAAGCCCGATTTTGGAAAGGCCGGGGTGATGTGAGGGACGAACAGACCCACAATAAAGTGTTATTTTAAATTTTAATTATTGGAAACTTTAATCGGTTAAATTCGAACGTTTTATCGAGTTAGGCTAAAAGCCATAAAAATTATTTCCCACGGAGTTTGTTCCTTGTTGAGTCGGATCAAGTTAGTCAGGGATGTGTCACCAGGAACTTTTGATGGAGAAGACATATTGGACGTGCGACCGTTAAAGGCCATCACCTGACCTCATGGAAAAAACCCAAGAGGAATGAAAAAGGGAAAAAGAAAAACGACCCCGAAGTCAGTCGTCATCCGAAGTCCCTCTACAAAAGTCGTCATCCGAAGTCCCTCTACAGAAGTCGTCATCCGAGGATTAAAACCGTGATCCAGGATTCAAACCGTGCCCCAGGATTAAAACCGTGACCCAGGATAAAACCCGTGCACCAAAATCCCGAAATAACACCGTGACAGAAGTAACACCGTGTCTCCTTAAGAATCTCACCCCACTTCCGTGCTTCCACACCTCCGAGATCCAATTAACGGACAAGAACTAGTGGAAAGACCATTTCAGAGGAGTCAAGAGTGTCATCATACTACAGATCTGCGACCTAGGAAAAAGAAAGGTATTTATCAACCCGCGATTCGGTTGTAAACTCTCTCTCTCGAACGGAATAGTATAATTAAGTCCGCTAATATGCCCGATATCTCTGTATTTTCTTTGTTTATTATTAAAATGGAATTTTTGTCAGAACATATGGAGTCCGAGTGAGTCACTTCCTCATCTCTCTCCTCACCTCTACTCCGAATCCAAGCGCTCACACGCTACCGCTCGCGAATCTTTAGACTTAACGTCGCGATTTCCGAGTCCCCTAGAGACTCGGTGGTGTCATCCTGACAGGGCGCCAAAGAGGTGCCGACCTTACGGTCACAATTTCATTTGTATATTCGAACTACTTTACACTGATTTTTGATAATTTTAAAATTAAATATCATTATATTAACCTTCCAACAGTGGAATAGTTAGGTATGGCGCTATCCCAAAATAGTGCAGAATAAACGTGGAAAATTTTTTAAGTATTTTTTCACGCGTTTTTTTCTCATTACCGTTTCGGAAAAAAGATTTCTTTACTAGAGATAACTGTTTACAAAAAGTCTTTTTTTGTTGTTACATAATTAATTTTTTATGCAAAATTTTTTTCGCGGTAGTTTTTGGCAATACCCCCAAAAGAATTTAACGGATATATCCATCCTTCACTGCTGAGTGGTAATAATTTAACAACAAAAGTATGTTTTTATTTGAATACAATGAAACCAATAGACTTTCAAGGAGACCACAAAATGGGGAATAGCAATTCAATTCAATGACTTTTTTGTAGGATGCATACTTTTCAAATTACTTTAGTGAAGCAATTAAAATAGACCAACCTGTATATATAAATCTTTGTAGTTTAATTTATAAACTGTCATTATCTTCTATATCATATTAAAAATCAAACAAACATTCATACAGATTTTGCATCATCAATGATGCAGACAAAATACATGATAGTGTCATTATCATATAACATTGTAAAATCTTACAAAATTTATTTAAAAACTTAAAATATTTTTTAAAATTTTATTAAATGGATTTACAAAATACATTTAATAAAATGTTAATAATAATACATAAAAAATATAAATTCGACTTTTAACAAAGCTAAAAACTTTGTACTTGTCCTTCTATTCGCCGTTCATAATAAATTAATAATTGTTAATAATAAATTAATAAATATTAATAATAAATTAATAATTGAAATAATAATAAATAAAATTCTAATAATAAATGAAAAACTCTGAACACTTTCAATTTAAGTAGGTTTTTGCAATTTCTGATCCAATTCTTCAAAATAAAGAAATAACGAATTATTAAATCAAATCTAATCAATTTTTATATGTAAGCTATAAACAACAACACTTACAATTAAATATACATTTCTTATAATTCAAATATAAAATAATAATACAGTAGAGTCTCAAAAACTCGGCCTAATGTGGACTGAAGGGTGGCCAAGTTTGTGAAAATGCCGGGTTATCGGGAATGAGGTTAAAAAAAATAAGTACGAGTGTTTCCTCAGAAAATACTGTGCTGTACTTGTATGTATTGTTTGCTTGAGAATACAACAGAGAATAAACTGCCCAAATACCCTTAAACAAAGGTATGTCCTTTATGAAGGCATAGAGCCTTTACTATATGAAAATGAAAATTAATGAATACACTGTGTACAGTAATTTACCCGATAAGACAGACCTCAGAAAAATACTTTATGAGGCATAAAGCTGTCTATAATGAAAATTAATTAACTAAGGATTTTTTTGCCCTGCCAGGGTGTGGCCGAGTTATCCGTACTGCCAGGTTATAGAGTGCCGAGTTTTCGAGACTCTACTGTAATATATTCTAATATAAATTTTACCTGATCGCCAATAATAATTGAATCGGGTGTATTTGTACCACTCTCATCCGATTGAATGGGTGTTGACAGACCACTTCCAATGTTCTGCTGTGGTGCAACACCTAATCTCTAAATAAAAAATATATATACAGACAAATTATCATTCTTGTAATTATTCAACAAATGTATTATTAAAATATGAATAATTTACTTTGAGCAGTTCTTGACGCTGTTGTCTGCGTTTAGCAATCAATGCTTCTTCATCTTCTTCTTCATCAAGATCTATATCACGTTCCCTGAAAATGAATTAAATTATTTCATTGTCACAGGAATGATTTCCAAGAAACATAAAGGATATCATCATCTTCATTGTTAATTTATTCATAAAACTTTACAAACATTTATGCTTAATATTTATGTAATTAAAGTAAGTAATTTAGTTTTATCCTTTAAAGAATTATTTACATTGAAAGTATCAATACATTTAATCTTATAAGGAGAACAGCATCTGTTACAGATATACATTACATAATTTTTTTCTGTTTTAAAATATCAAAATAAACAAGACATATTTGTCTATGTTGTGCAAATATATATTCATAATTCGGAAGCAAATTTAAACAATTTGGTTCACGAACAAACCTTTGAACGCCATATCTGTCCTGTTTGCCATAAGATAACTCAATTGCTGAACACGCTACAATGTAAGAGCCAGCCACAGATTAGAGAGAGAGAGACATACAATCAACTCCATATACTTCCTGTTTTAAAGAAAGTCAACAGACCAACCAATCAATAATGGGACTACAGATTGAGAAGTTAATGGCACCAAAATTGCCTCGGGTCATTAGATATCATAACATAAACCAACAATTACATTTCAATGTACATGCAGGTAAGATACTACTTCTGTTATTTGGTAACTGAATTTAAATGAAATTAATAAAAACCATGTTAATTAGCATTTTCATAATATAAATGAATCCATGTTTAAAGGTGCTTAACTTAAATTGAATAATAAAAATTTATTAATATAATTTTATTATAATATTAATATTTATTAAGACTAGGTAGCCAGTTAGTTTAAACTAAACATAATAAGATAATAATTAAAAACAAAATCTAAACTGCAATTAAAAATAAATAAATTGAATTTTAACTTCAAATCAAAAGCAATTGAAAGTCAAAGCAATTGAAGCATAATGTTTCAGAAAGTGTGAATGAAGAAAGTACTTGTCTGTCTTAATTGAGGCCAGTCTCTATTTATAGCACTATTTTTGTAAAGTGATGGTTTTGGTTTCATTTGATAGTGATGAAACATTTTTCTTTCAATACTCATATATAAAATGGATAAAATGTAATAGCTGTATGCTTTTGTGCATGAAAATACAGCTAAAAAGGTTAAGAAAAGGCTTTGGTTTGGGTGGAATTGAAAACAAATTAATCCATTTTATATTGTTTCTTATGAAAAAATTTGTTTCGATTTGAAAACAAATTGGTTTTCAAACAACTTTCAGGAACAAATCAAGTTCAAACCCCAAGGTTTGACTATATTATAAATGATATGGGGCAGCACAGTCTCATAAATGTAGCAGGGTTTACCATCACTACAAACTGTTACTTCAACATAAAACTTTGGCATCCCAACTTAGTACACAAACCAAGAATAATCCTTTAGTTACTTCAAGATTCAAGAAAAGGAGAATAATGATGACAGACAATAAAGACAATGGTTTCAAAACCAAAATGACACATGCTATGGTGTCACCAATAGAGTCAGACAGACAGGGCCTAGACTATGAATAAACTCATGTAGTTTTACAACAGAAATGACAGGTGGTAGGTGCAAACCTAGCACAAAATTTACCTATGCTCAGTGGGAAGCTGATTGCTACCTTCACATGATAACAGCCTTACTGTAGTATGTTGTATTACTGTTTTCAGTCCTACAAATGTCCATCATACAGAGATTTCACTGTATACATAATTACAAGTTTCAGAATGCAAATTTATATTCAAATAACAATCCAAACAAATCATATTCTGATTTTAAATTTTTTATTCTAATCTGTATACAACAAATTTGATTTCATTTCCATACCAAATGATCAACTTCCACTTTGATTTCAGACTATTTTGTTACAAAGAATACAAACTAACTATATATAAAGAGATGAAAGCATAAAATAAATCAAGAACTTTGACATTTAAATAGTCTCTTAAATAGGGCAGTATTTAAAAAACGAAAAATTACAAAAAATTTAATACGTACATATCTGAGGAGCCATCAGACATCACCATTCCTTCAGAAAGACTATCTTTGTATTTATCTCTTGCTTTTTCTTTGCGACTTTGCTGCCTTTCTTTGCTATTACCTCTATGACTGTAACGATCTCTGTTAACAAATAAAATTCAATATGTTTTTATTTAGCAACACACTTAAATATTTGTCATTTAAACAAACTTTATTTTGAAGTCACTAGAAAGCTAAGGCATAATAAAATCTGTCACAAAATTTAATCTATACTAATATTATAAAGAGGTAATGTTTGTATGTATGTATGTTAGTTTGTATGCAGCAGGTAATCTCCGAAACTACTCATCCGATTTCAAAAATTCTTTCACCAATATTTAGAATGGAACTTCAGGGTGGACATAGGCTGTATATTATTCCGTTAAACATGGGGGATGGACAGTTCTTTACGGTAAGCCTTACAGGGAAGGTTACCGTAAAGAACTCTGCTTCTATTTATACTATTTTAGATGCGGTTTTTTTCCGTTTTTGATTGCGTTTTAATAGGGTACGTCAACAGAATGTACACTAAGAAGGGATTTTTCGATATTCCTCCCGCGGGGGAAAGGGACAGGATTAAGGCTTACTGTGAAAAACTTGGCTTCTATTATACTATTTTAGATGCGGGTTTTTGCGTTTTTGATTGCTTTTTAATAGGGTACGTCAAGAGAATGTACACTAAGAAAAAATTTTTCGAAAAATTTTCCCCCATGGGGGAAGTGTTATACATTTATAATAGATACATTTTGAGCCACAACAAGGCGTGGCGGGGTCTGCTAGTTCTTTATATATTAAAAACTGATAAAAGGTAAAGTCTTCAAGAATCTTTCTACATGAAAAATCAAGATGTATTTATAATGCTAATCTTTCTTTTTAATTTAATAATTTGCTAGGAAGTGAATTGTTGTTACTAATTTTTAAATAATCACTTTTAAAAATGTATATTTTTAAATAAGAACAGACAATTCAGTACTTAAAAAAAGCAAGTTTAAATTAAAAATAGTAATAATAAATCAACCATTCTCATAAAACACATCCCCTCCTCATCTAGTACTCATTAATACAAAATCAATCATCAAAACAAGTTTGAATCTATTTAAATGTTATTACTGGAACTGGCAGTTTATTGAAAATGCTCTTTTTTTTATTACTTCAGTCAAAACAATAAAAATTTACACTATTAATATGTACTGTTTTATGAAAATTCATAATGTAATTTGTAAAAAATCATACTATTAAATTACATTTTTCTAATATTTTGTTTCCCATGCCTATACTTAAAAGATTTATAACACTTTTCTGAACCTGCTTTAGTCAGTCAACATTAACCTAATCTAACCATTCCCTTTTAAATATGTTAATTATTTATTACATATTCTTGCTTGCTTATGCTTGCATAGTTGCACCCTTAAGTAGACATGTTCAAAAATGTCAGTCATATAACCGAGTCAATTTTATTTGATTATTATTGACACTAAGAGCTGTTTTTGAATAGCTTGCAAATCTATGAATAAACAGTATCAACAATATCATAAATAAGTTTCAAATTATGTTTCATTATCCAATTACAGTGAGCATCTATTTACTCTTTAAACCACAACGAAAATAATTATATTGTATATATTTACAAGATGAATCCTGCAAACTCAACTCAATGTGAACTGAAAAAATGCTAAGTTACCAATAATGACAAGTTTTACAGCATAGCAATGATGTTGGTCTAAATAGCAGACTTTTAGGAATAACAGACATGCAAATTCTTACACATATTAACTACGTACTAAAAGTGACTATTCCTATTTGTAACTAAATTTTAATTTTAAAAAATTTCGGTTATTCAGTGGCTACTTTCAAGTTAGTGCCATTTATCTTGTGATATTTTGCAGTGGCACCTTGGAAAAAGGGTTATATTCTTTGTTAACACTTAGAACTAATGCTCTTATCAAGTGTTGCCAGTAAAGAATGATAATATAGGGTACGTTCGTTAAGTCGAACGAGTTAAACGCGTTAGTAACGAATCGTTCGAAAAGTAGTAGTCTCGCTCAGTGCGCATGCTCTGCGGTGATGACATTTCAAACGAAACTCTAACGAAGTTCACGAAGGAAAGAGTTGGTTTACTTCGTTAAGAAAATGGCGGCCGACGGTATCAATGTTTCTAAATCTACTCGAGTGTTTAAATTGTGAATTAAAAGATGAAATGATTGGAATAACTGTCCACCCGAAGCAATCTAAGAAAAATATTTCGGATAAGGCTGTATTAGCAACATTTGTATCTTCGATTTTAGAAACAGCCATTTAGTTCTAAACGAATCATTCGAAAAGTCTAACGAAATAAGAATAACAATGACGTCATTCTCGTTTAACTCGTTCGACTTTACGAACGTACCCATAAAGACCAAAAGGGTTAAGTTAGAGGTGAAAATCAGATTACTTTTTCTCTTTTTGGAACGACACAACAAGTTTTATGGAATGTCAAATCATCGAAAGTTGAGTTTCCAGGTCTCTACTGTAATACGCAATATAATTATTGCACTTCCACGCTTACTCTTAAACATGGAGCAAAATCATCGCTACATTCAGCAAAGTACCTAAAAACAATATTTTTGAAAAAATTTTATACTATTGAAAGTATTTATTTCGGTTTTTTATTTTATCACTGAACAATTACTTCAGCACATGTATTTTTACATTGACACAGTGCAGAGCTCTTAAGTCAAAGCAACCTAGCACACATAAGAGCAGGCTCCTATATGTGAGATAATACTCTTACAAGCAGGATGTATGTTTCAAAAATGCAAAACCAAGCAATTTTCACATATAATAGCATGATCTTATCTTTTCAGAAATACAGTACTTAATAATAATTTACATGTCTTTTTATGTATACAGTACAAAATTATATATAGTAGGATTTTACATGTTATTAATTCATAAATTTTATCAAGCTTCAAAATTAAAATATTTCAAGCAAAGAAAATAATAATAATCATTGTACTATTTTTAATTTTTCATTTGATAAAATATACTTCTCTCATCTTACCTAGTTCTGGTTCTCCTATCACGATCTGATCTAGAACTCCTATCAAAATTTCTCCTATATGGACTGTCTGCTCTCGATCCTCGACGCCAAGGACTCCGATTTCTTATTGGACTTCTGGATTTATAATTTCTCGATGGACTTCTAGAGTGATGTGACCCTGGCGATCTACTTCTCCTCATATATGATTTTGGAGGAGTCGATTGCCGGAGTGGAGAACGATAATCTCTACGTGGTGAATGAGATTTACTTTCAGAACTGGGTAACCAAGGAGACCTACTTCTACCATGAATAACTACTTCTTCTCTTCTCATACATCTTGCACTATTCCTTAAAGGAGATTTTGATGATCTAGATCGATCAAACCTTCTAATGGGTGATCTATCTCTACTTCTTCTATCTCTACGATGTTTATCCCTAGAAAAGAATATATATATATAATTTTAGAAATATTCAAACATTCTGACTTCAAAGGTAAGTATATTAACCTAAGTATACTTAACATTCTTAAATTGTTGTAAATGCAGAATGTCTGAATAGATACCATGCAATGAGAAATTTGTAACAACATTAAAATTATATGTAAAATATTATGAGACCTGTAAGTTGAATGTCCTACATTTCCCTTTTATGGTATTCTCTGGAGTGCAAGGAAGGAACACATGTATGCGAGCACTCTGGAGGAGATGAAGATGACAATTACACAACGTATCAAACAGATCACTCTTTCCACCCTCTAGAATGTGTTTCACAAATGCAACACCATGTGCAGGTAAGGCTTGAGGTTTCTACAACAGTGTTTTTCAACTACTGGTCCATGGACTGGTCTGGTCTGTAAAAAAATTCACTAGTACGCAGAAAAATATTTGACCGTACTGATGCTGGCACAGTTAATTATGTGCAACATTTAATCTGTAATCTAGGGTTACTACACATACTTTGTTACATATGGTAACTCTACATAATACATAAGCTTAATAAATATGAATACAGTCGACCCCCCTATAATTACGATTCCCATAAAACTGCGAAAAAATTGTGACCGTATCCGTAAAAAACCCCCTATAATTACGTTAAACGTCATCGGGCAGCCAAACTACTTTCCCGCCGTCCGTAGCGCCACGCTACGGAGAGATTTCTATCATCTGGACAGTATTATATTAATTATATATAAATTAGGTACTGTATATATAATTATATATTAACTTATTGTAACTTTGTTATAATTAAATATATAATTTCCGCCGTGTAGCGTGGCGCCACGCTACGGAGATTTTTACGCTAACTATCGTCTGTACAGTATGTAAATTAGGTACCGTAAGTCTAATACAGTACTGTAATTTTATACATTTCTTGTGAAATAAACATTTCTTATTCAACGGCGATTAAAATTATTTATATTAATGATGTCTCCGAAGTTCAACGAAGTTTTCGCAGAAAAATAAGTTATCAGAAATCGGCCGTGGTTTGGTGTGCTGCTTCGCAACGAAAACAAGCTTTAGCAATGGGAATGTCTAATAGTGCACACTCGGTAAGTAATCCTACAATTTTTTGTTTATAGCGTAGTTTATATGGATTATTTCCAAAAAATATATATGTATTTTGGAAATGTTGAGTCGGATTAGTCTAGAATCGATTAATTTTATGGAAGAAAACCTTTCAATCAGCCATAGTCCGTAAACTTTACACGTGTCGGGCTGTGATTGGAACGACTCGTAAGAAATCGGATTCCTAAAAAATGGAACATATCTATGATCTTATAGGGGGGTCGACTGTAATTTGTAGTCACACAACTACCGGTCCACATAAAATTATCAAGAATTTTACATCCACAATGAGGAAAAGATTGAAAAACACTGCTCTAGAGGACAATTCCAACATTTAATGTAGGAGAAACTGCAATATCTTATGTAAAGCTTCACTTTTATTAAAATTTTTCACTGCATAGTAACTTTTTGAACACCCTGTATATTAATTCAATTCAAACACCACACAACAGAATAACAATCTGTATGTTGCCATAAAAGAAAAGAAAGGTAATACAAAAAGATAAGCAAAGAAATTTACAAAATAATAATATCAAAGTAAAATTTATCTGAAATTCTTAGTTGTAGTAATAAATTTAGAAAAATAATGAGCATCAAAGCTTAATATATATCTTATTTAAGTCTGTGAAGCAGATTTTTGTATAAAAATAATTCTATAAATACATAAAGTATTTCCATCCGCATATATAAATTGCAAATCTACAAAGAATTCCGTCAAAATCAAAAAACCTGCAACTAACTATTTCTACTCATAACATAACCATAATTAAAATAAATCAATGACATATGATATAATATATCAATACAATGTTACAAACAGCTGTTTTATTTTTTAATGGTTATTTCTTTATCCTGAACAACATATATTTTTATCAAATTTTATTTAACCTTCGTTATATACCTTAAACATTATAAAACAAGTTTTTAATTACATATAAATAATGTTATCGTTATACTTTTTCCCCATCCTTAAAGTCAGAACTATAGAATAAAAACATTATTATTATTGTAAATGAATAAAACATTAAATTTATTTTTATAAAATTGAGAAATCACCACTAAAACTCCTTACCTTTAGATTTAAATATTATCCTGTTTTTACTCAGATTCTATTTTAAGAAATGATTTTTAAATGTATATATTATGTTGATTGCTATTCACATTAAATTCTTTATATTGTTTATTTTATACTATATAAAATAGAATTAATGCAACTTCTTAATTTTGCATTAATTCCTTTCAATTACTTTTAAACCTGGTTAATTTATGAAACCAAGTTTTACAAGTAAAATTTATTTCAACAGTATTACTTAAGAATGTTGTTTATAAACACTATTTACCATTAAACTTTTCCCCAAAAGCCTTATATTATTATTTTTTAAAATATTTTTTTAGTTTAAATTTATAATTATTTAACGAATTAAGAATACAGCCACTTCTCTCTTAATGACAGAGTTACATTCCTATGACTAAGTCATCGAGCAAATTGGTCGCTAAATGAGCTTAATAATTTTCATTTATTCTAAACAAAGAAAAGGTCTAAGAAAGCTCCGACTCGATAACCTTGTTTTAATTTGCATCTTCTTACATATTACGGAACAAGAGTTTGTTAAACAGGTAAGTAAGTCATTAAGCGAGGAGTGGATTAAATTGTATGCAATAAACTCGCAATATATTCTGTCTTATGAACCATTTTTCAAGCAGTATAGCAATGAATACTCAGGTTTTTTTTTACATAAGCATTTTTTTAAAAAAATCCCTTACATAACCCCATTTGATAAATTTCCAGCACTTTTCTCCAATTGTTATCCGTCATATTTTTAAATCACTTTTTTATTAGCAATAAGGGTAGTACCCCATTGCAGAGGTTATATTTATAAATAAAACATATTTATTACCTAACTTGTAATTGCTTTAAATTAATAATAAATATTATTATTAATAAATTAAGTTACAAATAACAACCTCTTAGGGATCAATAACGACTCCGATTGGAAATCCCAATTCACATTTCGAAAGATTATTTAAATTTTGCCTGAAATCTTGAGCGTAACTTTATTGGACTATTACTGAAATTTTGAATATTTTATGTTTAACAAATACTTCTTTATGGCCTTTTATTAAAATGTAATATAGAAAAGTCATTGGAATTACACCAGTAATAATTATTAACTGAAAAATTAACATTTCTGATAAATATTTATGTAATCTTAATTGAATAATTAACCTTTTTTCATATTTGTTCTTGCAAACTCTCATGTATGAATAATGTAAGAATGTGTATAATTTTCAAATATTATGGATAGTATACAGATTAATTTAGAGTTCTGATCTTTAAATCTGGATTCGGATATTGAAAGTTAGTAAAATGTATCCATATTTTCAATTACGCATTTTATTTTCAAACGAAACATGTGATTTTACAAAGAACTATAACATATTATTAAATTTTGATTGCCAGTAATTTTTCTTGTTTGATGTATTACTTAGATTTAACGTTTTTGATGTATAAGCCATGCGTTTACACAATTAAACTTCAGCCAACAAATAAAACTATTAAATTATTTTAAATAAATTGGAAAGATCCAAAATCAATTTGTTTCATGGTAAAGTACATAGCCAAGTACAGTTCCCTTTGCTTGGAACAATTTAAAAGAAAAATAACATGACAAATTTCAACTCAAGTCAATTTAGGGACTTAATTGATTGTAAGTAATACATTGATGATTTATTAGTTAATTTTAGTTGTAAATAAACATATTTGTGATTCTCAATGACAAACATAAATATAATAAATTACCATTTAATGCTTTGACTTTGTTATTTAACTTTGTAATAAAATGATCCAAAATTACCATTCCCAATAATCGGTTTCAGTTACCATCTGAGAAATTAATTGCAAATATACATTAATATTTTAGTACACTATATTATTATTATTAATAAAATGCTACAGAAAATATAAGCCACGATATATAAATGTCTGTATTAGGTTTTATTCTCACCAAAAAAGAGGACAGTGTTTCTCGGATGTGTGTCAAAACTGGAGTGCAAAAGTTTAACAAATAGCAATTGTAAACTTTATTGTTTTAAGAATAATTAATGCTGGTTTTCACATCAATTTTATACTACATTTTACTTTTTTTCTGAAATTTTATTGTTAGTTTGATATTGAAATATTGTTTTCTGTCTTAGTACAATTAATTAATAACATGTAATATTTTTACATAAGAATTAAAATTTCTGACTTTTCTTTATAATGAAATTTTGACAGGTGCTGGAACAAGATCATCAGTAAATAACGATATGAAAAGCTCTATTTTCATCCTGAATTCCGCGAGTAGGATTTGAAAGAGTTGATAGTCAAATAACTAAGGTGAGAGGGAATCATCTCGAAGAATTCCTTTGTCATGAAAGGAAAGGAATTTTTCCCCCCATGAAATTAGTTTTATATTCTAATAATAATTATAAAAATTGTTGAATAAAATTTTTCTTTGGCACCTTTACATTTTAACTTTCTAACTGAAGCTGAAAAACTGTATCAAATGCTTTCTTAAATGTCATGAAAGCCATAACATGTTTCTATGCTTCTTTGCAAAATTCATGAAGAAATTTATTTGTGTTTTATTCTGAAGGAATTGAGTTAAATTAACATTTATGAATTATGTCATAATTTTGCAATTACTGTATTAATATGAATTATCTTCAATAGTACATTGATTATAGAAATAATGAATAAGTTAAATATTTGAATTTGTTCAGTATGTTTTNAGAAAAAAAAAACGCTTTATTTTATATATATGTAAGATCTTTAAATAAATTCATTGTCAATTTATAAAAAGCACTGAACAAATAAAATCAGCATTGTTATTTATCAAGAGCATAAAACATGACTTTATAAAATTTAAATTCTACTATTATTTTATATTATTTATCATTAAAAATCAAAATCTATTAACAAAATATAATCATTGACTAATTTAATTTTCCATTACTATTTGCAATAATCGAATCTATCAAAGAAGAAAAATAAAAAATAAAATAAGAATAATAATAATCACTAAAATCGTGTTTGATTAATTTGTAAAAATTTCTTCTGTTTTTTTTAAACTGCTTTGACGAAAATTTCTTTTCATAAACTGTAATTACATATTTGTCATTCAAAAACAATAATTTTAACTGCAGAATTTCTTTTAAAATCAAGTTAAAACATAAGTTTTTAATCATATTCTTAATTTATTCAATTTAAAATATATGTTCTCCATCTAAAATTTGTAGTGTCTTGCCCCTGTACATCACACTTTTCCCAATAACAGTAGTAAATAGTAGTTGTAAAAGTAGTAGTATCTATGTAACTTCATTCGGAAATATTTTTGAATTGAATTTATGTGACTTCCAGTCGAGACCAGAAGTTTGTGTATAGTTAATTGGGGCCTCCTGCTCCTAAGTTTTCCCTATCTGGTCTCGACTTTCATCTAATTAACACTGTTTGAGATTAAGGAAAGACAGACAGACTGACAACAGAGGAAATTTATAGCTCTACAATTTTTTCAAATTGTAGCCCAATAACTGATATTAATGGTGATAAATACAAATTCCAGAATTCAGAACAGAATTCTCTCAATCTATTGTTACTAAGTAAATGTATCCATAGTGTCCAGGTTTCTGTAACAATGACATACTTGGTATACTGTACATTAAAGACAGGAGACTGCACATTTCCTACTTTTACTTTTTTTTTATATACAGTACCTACATTTCAGGAAAATAAATGCTAATATTTGATGATTTAAATCTTGATAATAGATTGAAGTACAATATTTTAAACCAATTTGTTACTAACAAGCTTTTGAAAGCACATTTTTTGAATGAATCCTTCTCACTCAGTCTTATAAAGCACTGGCACTCAGAATATTAAAACAGGTTTAACATAATTTTAGCTTGTGGCATATATCAAGAAAAGTGTTAAACTTCAACATTTATTTTTTTATTATTAGAAACTAAATAATTCCAAACAGCAACAACTCAACGGTAACGTGCACCTGAGGTGAAACAGATTTTTGCCACCCTACTTCTAGAATTGCTGCCCAATAGAGTACTTCTAATACAACCATTCTTGTATGAATTGTTTATAAACAAGTTTAAAGTTCATTTATAGAATTTCACTGTTTTGTCTTTTTTTTCTTTTAAACATTTTTAACTGTTCATTTTACCACTTGATACAGTTGCTTCTGCTTCACCTATTGAGTTAGCTCTGATTCCAAATTTCATTTTCCAAAACAAAATTTAAATATAAATTACCCAAAATGCATAGTCAGTCATAGTTACGGTGACCATACGTCCTTTATTTAAGAGGACAGTCCTTTATTTCGCTGCTCTGTCCTCTAACTTTATTTATTTTATAAAATAGGCATTTTGTCCTTTACTACATTTCACTATACCTTTAAAATGCAGTCTACTTTTGTCAGTTCTCTAACGTTTTCGGTCTAATTTATAGACCTTCTTCAGGATTGCTACATTTCACTATACCTTTAAAATGCAGTCTACTTTTGTCAGTTCTCTAACGTTTTCGGTCTAATTTATAGACCTTCTTCAGGATTGATGTAAAATATTTTAAAATTTGAACTTTCTCAACGGTAATTCGAACCACGCACGTTCTATAATCTTCAGATATTCGATCGCGCATGCCCATTAGCTCTTTATAATGCCGCCGCTCTCCATGCCGTTGCTATTCTACTTGACTCTCGAAAATTTATATTAAGCCCCTTTTCTCTGTATTTATAAATGTGCCATGCCTCTGCATACTTTAGATGTCGTATATTATNCAATGATATAGCAGGAAACAGACGCTCCATTACTGCCACCGCCAGCATAAAGCACTTGGCAGCGGCGGCCTTATCCATTGCGAGGCTCTGGGCGGCAGATCTTTGCGAGGCCCTTGTCCTTTGTGCAAAGTATGTGAATTGAAATAGTAGGCACTTATTAATATTAATATATACTGTACTATAAATTAAATTTATTTTATTGTTATAACTAATAGCCAAGGATAAAATAAAAAGTTTTATGTATCAACTTTTTTCTACTTGGTTGTTGCGCGAGGCCCCGGGCGATTGCCATGCTCGCCACCCCCTAAGGCCGCCACTGATAGAACAATATCGAAATGATCGTTCTCCATTTTGGCCAACATGCATCCACTCTACCCGAAAGCACACGATCGAATGTACAACAACATGGCAGCACACAAATCTCAAAGCACGCGGCTGACATTCACAAAATGCATGTTCTAACCAAAATCTATCAATGCACGTTTGAGTGTGTATATCCATGCGGATTGGTTCTTTAAAACATGCGTTACCAAAGCACGCGTTTCAAAACGCCTAATGTGTACACAGCCAAATAGTTAGATACATACAACTGCATACTTATTATACTTCTATATACATAGAAGTATAATAAACCAACTTTATTGCCAAAGCAACTATGTTAATAAATTGATTATTATACTCATAGTATAGTAATCAATCCAAACTAAAACCCAACTACTACAGTAAATTTTGACAAACTGATCATAAAATTGATGCAAACGTGATGCTTTCTTGCAGGATACATTTTAATTCCCCCTATGAGAATAACATCAGGTTTTGCAGTACAAATCTGGCATACTTTTCAACAAATTACAGTAGAGTGTGATTTATCTGAATCAATTGGTCACAGGAGTTGTTCGGATAACTGTTTATGTACAAAAAAATATATTAACCTATCCCATGTTGAAACTTTTCTCTGTTGCATGTCACTTTGCGTTGAAGTTTTGTCAATGTTAAGCCTAACATAAATTTTTTAAAATAATAATCGTGGCTATTGTATAGTTAAAATTATTTCTTTATTTTGTACAAACAAAATAAATATATTGAAAAATATAAAAACAAAAAAACTTATATTTTGGAAGTATCAAAAACGTTTGATTCAGCACGACACAGTCCGACTGGAACACTTTCAGTTAACCGACATTTTGGTTGATTGGCTTTCGGATAAACGACGCTCTACTATACTACTTTTTGTAGCAAACTGAGTGCCAATTCAAAATCAAAGTAAATTTAAGTTTGATACATAGACAGAAAGAAGCCCATAATGTTTATCAAAAAGCTGGGGTTCATAGACAAAAAACAATTAAAATCACAAGTAAACTTCAGAAATAGCCCTAACTGGCAACCCATCCTACAAAAACTAAGAAAGAAAAAAACAATGATAAGTAACCAATTTAAACTCATATATAAATGTCAAACTTGCAACAAAGAACCTTATACATAGTATGCTAATAGCATGCATTCTATGCATAAAGTCCAATCTGCCATTTCTATGATTCACCAGAACCAATCATTTCTGACATTCATCACAGGTCATTGATGTATGTTTACAAAGACCAGGGAATGTTCAAATACTAATAATACCAGAAATCTTTTGGATTTTTACCAACATATCAGCTGCATGTCAACATTAACACATTTCCATCTTTCACAGTAACAAACATGTCTAATGACTAAAATTTTTGTGCTTAAATAACTAAACAGGAAACATACTTAAAATGTATATTATTATGCTACTATAAATAATTATTGTATAACTTTTGACAGAAATTAACCTATCTCCTGATAAATGAAGTTAAAAGACATCCATATCCAGAGAAAGCATACAAAATCAATAATTTTAGTAATAAAAAACTAAAGTATTTGCATCCCAAAAATATATATGAGGTGTACCCAGAAAGGTAAGTACTGTTTGCATGTATTTCCCATGCATTTTGGCAATGTCAAGGTCATGTATGCATAATTACTTCTTCCACTCAAGAATGAAGTAAGTGAGTCATATTTGTTTTTCTTGTTCATGTTGAGGATCACTAAGCATATGTTATAATGTTCAAAACAGTTGAGTGGCCCACTAGCTACGAAATACAAATGGTAATTAGGTTTTTGAATTTCAGAAACGATCAACCACATAAAGTTTACCAGCAAATTTGTGAAATTTACAAACTAATTGTGATAAGTAAAGGCATGGTGAGAAAATTGGTTAAATGTTTAACAAAGGAGGAACAACATTCATGACAAACAAGGATCATAGTGACCGCCCACCCTGGTCAATGAAGATTTGTTGCACAATGTCAAAGAGAAAATTTGTTCCGATAGATAATTCACAATTTCTGATTTGTCTCTAAAACTTCCTGACATTTTAATATCTTTGCTGCATGAAATTGTGACTAAACACTTTCACTTCAAAAAGTTGTGTTTGAGATGGGTGCCGAAACAATAATGGACATTCACAAAACGAACTGCATGGGATCAGCTTTAGAACTTTTGCAGCAATACAATGGGAAAGAAAATAATTTTTGAAAATAACTGTCACGGGTGATGAAATGTGGATATGCCAAGTGACACCAGAAAGCAAACAACAATCACTGCAACCTCCAGAAATGATCAGTCACAGGTGGTGGAATGCTATGAACAGGTTACCTTTAATTTAGTGACAAGTTATAATAAGTGCCCAAATTTACATGGCAATTATGTTGAAAAGTAGATTAAGCTATGTATAACTTAATGGTAATTAAATAATTTTTGTCTCAATTGCCTACTATTTTAAATAGCTAAATGGTACTTACTTTCTGGACGCACCTCGCATATACCTTAATAAATACATAAAGCATATTTTTCAGATTAAATTGAAGTTGATAAAAATACATAAAATTATAAAATAAAAATTTTCTAAATATAACTTTAATAATTAGAACAGATCTTAAACAACACAAAACATATAAATATCTTTTAAAACAGGAATATAATTTGATATAGATACAGTGAAATATGATTAGTTGGAGAACTGGGAGTTTTACTGTACTATGAAGAATTCAAAGAAAAATATTATTTGGAATGTGTGAATGTTAACTGATCTTTAATTTTAATTTTTGCAAATGTTTCTGTGGTTGATTGGAGAATTTTAATTGTATGTATGGCCAAGACTCCACTAGCATAAAAACCCTCACCATAAATACTTTTAATCACGTGACCATAATATTTTATGCCAGAGCAGGTCATAAAATGAGCATAAAACAAGTCAAGCAATGTTCAACTTTCAATGTAAATACATCTGTAAAATGGTACCATCAACCAATCAGCAGTCAGTAGAATTTAAATCATGCGAAAATTGGCAAGAAACAAGCTTTCATGTACATTCTCCCTCATGGCTACTTAGAAAAGACCTAGAATAGATCTGGAAAGATTTATTGAAAGCATCTGAAAGTATCCACATATATATGACAAGAGGCATCCCCTTTTAAGAATGGATGCCTAAAACAAGCAATATGGACAGCCATAAGAAAATCCTTCAATTTAAATGAGTATATAATATAAGAGCTAAGCCTATAAGTGTAGTATAGTATCTTAATAATACGATAAAGTTAATATATGAAAGTAATGATGTTATTTTTACTACATTTGTAATTATAGTACAGAAAAATCACAGAATATAATCATTGCCTTTATATTGATATATCACATATACAACTGTAACTTCAATAACACTGTCAAAGTAAAAACTTCGGTAGTGGAGCCAGACCTCCACCACAATCCAAGCACAAATGCAAACAGTTTACATGATTAAAAGTATTTACGGCAAAGGTTTTTTACACTCATTTTTACACTAGTGGAGTCTTGGCCTTAATGCGAAAAATAGAAAAAACTATTTAAGATTTAAAAGTGTTCAAAAGAATGGAACTTTGGAAATTTGTGACTTTGGTCATTGATTTGGTATCATGTGATTCTGCTGAAGAATGGAAAAATGCTTCATGAAACATTTTAGAATTAGTTTTTGTGAATTCTTTGAATGGGTTTGGTGGTGGGTAGTGGTTAATAATAATTATTATTATTTCAGTAATAATATAAAAAAAAAACACTTTATAATTTCACAAAGAAAAAAAACAAATTTATACCTGAGTGATGAAGGAGATTTTCTACTGCGTGTTTCAGGAGATTTATGGCTACGTCGATCTGGATTCACTTTCTTCTCTTCACGTGGTATTTCTTTTGATTCCTTTTTATTTCTTTCAAGTTTAGGAGAATAATCTTTCCGCTTTTCTTCTTTTATATTGTTGCACTCCGACAACTTACTTTCTGCAGGAATAATGTTTTTAACATCCACTAATGGAGAAGATTCACATTTAACAATTGGTGCAGAATTAGAATCACTAAGTGAAGGCTTTTTAGTTTCTCCATTTGTAGTTAGCTCTTTCACTAAAACCTCATCAGAGGAGCTTCCATAATCATCAGGCACTAATGATCTATGTTCTTTGTCTACCTTAGCAAGCTTTGCTTGTATTAAAGCTTTTTGTTTTTCCAATTCTTCCAAGTCCATACTATTTACAAGTAGTTTATCTTCAGCATTGCAAACTTTTTTCTCTTCTTTTAAAATAATGATGTCTTTATCCATATCAGGATGATGGCGTTTATGCTTATGTTTACGATGACCACTGCTCTTCTTTTCTTTGTGTGAAGAATGCTTATGTTTGTGCTTATGTCTGTGATGTTTCTTTTTTCTTTTACGGTTACTGGTACTCCCACCTAAAGCTACATTCTCATTGTAAGATTTTTCAAAATCTTCATTAACTTCTACATCAGAAGAACTAGCACTTGCACTAGAAAAAAATTTTTATATATTAATAAAGCTCATTTTGAGATATATATATAACAAATTAATTTTATCATCATTTCTAATTAAAATTAAATCTCATATTAAAATAAAACGTACCAATACAATTTTATTAAAATAAATACTTATTTTCAAATTTAATTAATTCATTAATTCAACATACATAAATACATACATTAAAGGCACTAAAGCTTGAAAGTGCACTAATGGTTAACATATCAAAGATAATTTCTCAGGGAAAAAAATATTCTACAAATGTGTGTATTATTCAGATGATACTACAAAACTATCTCAAAACTCATGGAAATTAATTGCTGTAATGACTGTTTTTAAACAAAATGAATTTAATATTAGAATTATTACTTATTTGCAAATAATAAAACTTACTTCCAATGCCAAAAATGATTGTAACTGGAGATAAGATTAAATACCAATTTTCTTCATTAACTAACGTTGATGATTAAATATGTCATTTGATAGCCCAATAATATGTCAACTTTTAGCAATTTTTGTTTTAGTGTGTGTCAAATAATAGTGTAAAGATACTGATTCAAGAATTTAAAAATGTTTTGTATTTTAACTACTATACATTTTTTTCAAAAATAATTTTAAGTTAATTACAAAAAATTTGTACAGTGTTTTCACTTAAATATTCATTCTGAAGCAAACAATTTCATGTTATATATATATAATGTACAGTATGGGACCAGGTCTTGATTTCTGGACTTAAGCATATATTTAGCCTAAAATATATTAGTAGTATTTTTACTTTCCACTGTTTAAACTGTTTTTAACACACATGTCAGCATNCAGGAAAAAAATATTCTACAAATGTGTGTATTATTCAGATGATACTACAAAACTATCTCAAAACTCATGGAAATTAATTGCTGTAATGACTGTTTTTAAACAAAATGAATTTAATATTAGAATTATTACTTATTTGCAAATAATAAAACTTACTTCCAATGCCAAAAATGATTGTAACTGGAGATAAGATTAAATACCAATTTTCTTCATTAACTAACGTTGATGATTAAATATGTCATTTGATAGCCCAATAATATGTCAACTTTTAGCAATTTTTGTTTTAGTGTGTGTCAAATAATAGTGTAAAGATACTGATTCAAGAATTTAAAAATGTTTTGTATTTTAACTACTATACATTTTTTTCAAAAATAATTTTAAGTTAATTACAAAAAATTTGTACAGTGTTTTCACTTAAATATTCATTCTGAAGCAAACAATTTCATGTTATATATATATAATCTTATAATATAATAGAGATGGATTGATGATGATAATAATAATAATAATAAATAATAATAATAAGTGCAGAGCCCAAACGCTTAGGAGTTGAAAGTTGAAATTTGGTACACAGTTAGGGTACATCACGAGAATGTACTGTACACTAAGGGATTTTTTTAAATTCCTCCCTGTGGGAAAGAGGGAGAGGGTTAAGGATTATCCTGAAGAACTCGGTTTCTACTGTACTATTTTAGACGCGGTTTTTTTTTCATTTTTGCGGGAAATTGAACATTTTTTTAGACCCATCTAAAAATTTTCTAATTAGCCTCAGAAGAAGGGAGTGAATTCTTGCACCCGATGAAAACAGGTAAGATTGGCTATATAACTACAAAGGTTATCTTATGTAAGAGTTTATCACACCAAATGACCAACCTAACACATTTAAAAAATTTTTTGAAATGTGTACAGTAGAGAAATAAAGAATTTTTAAAATGTGTTAGATTGGGCACTCAGTGTGATAAACTCTTATGTAAGATAATCTTTGTAAACATAAATCAAATACTGTATTATAATATAGTAAAAGGGTTAGAAGTACAAAATAATCTAATAATCTTAATCTTTGCTGTTGTTATTTTTTGCCCGAGCAACGCCAGGCTCATCTGCTAGTATATATATTATATAAAATGTATGTTGAATTACTGAATTAAATTTGTATACATTATTAATTATTGAATTATATACATAAAATATATTTAATTTGAAATATAACAGTAAATCTATATAGAAAAAATAAGATTTTAAAAAGATATCATCATCATTTTGTCACATTCTCAAAAATTCATTTTGTCTGCATTTCCTAAAGCAGAAATATATATATATATTTTTTCACTTTCACCTTTCCTCCAGTTAATTACTTTACAATAAAATAAATCTTGCAATTTTATATCAGTGATGAGCAACAACCTTTTCTGGCTGCAAACCACAAGTGCACTTCATAGGCTTCTGATGGTTTGGATGCACTTTTTCTAACTTACAAGGAAACTGTTAAGAGTTTTTTTTAATAAAAAAATTTAGTTAATAATTACGTTAAAAGTATACAAACTCTATATCAGATTTGTAATATTCACTAAAAGTGTTAATTAGAGTTAATAGCAATTAAATGTTGTACTAACACTTTTAGTGAATATTATAAATCTAATATAGAGTTTGTATACTTTTAATGTAATTATTAACTAAATTTTATTAATATTTATTAAAAGACATTCCAACAGTTGCCTTGTTAGCTGAAAGCTTTAAGCCATACCGAGTATCAACATACTCCATAACTGCCAGTACACTAATTACTAACATAATATACTATAATAATATGCAAACTAGTAATATAAAGTTTAATCTCATCTTCACTTGTTAAGTTTAGTTTGAATGTTGTTCATCTTGAATATCAGGTTAATCAAGTTTGCGCAATGACACAAGGCAGAAAACATAAAAATAAAATTATGCGGCCAAAGCCCTCAGCAGCAGCAAAACCTGATGGGTTGCTCGTGACTGATCTATATTATGATAAATTTTAATATAACTCCATAATATAAAGATTTTGACAAATCAATTTTAACCAAAAAACAGAAGAGATGGTGATAAATACAGATTGTTTTTTCTGAATAAGACGTCCTCTTTTTGCAGAAATGAAAACACCAGTATAATAAATCCTAAGTAGACAATAATATAACAAAAATGATGATTAATATATTTAAAAATCCAGTAACATTTAAAACTGCATATGTGGTGTAATCTGTTATAATATTTTATTTTAAAAAACTTTATATTTTTAATTAATTATTATATAATGGCAAAAAACTTAATTTTGGGATGGTTTTATACAAAAAACTGATAAATGCTAATAACAAGTAAAACCATCATTAAGTCCGACACTACTCTCCCTTTATCTCCCCTCTGACATTTAAGCACTAAGTTTCAATAAATGTGAACAAAACTGTGCAGCACGCACACACACACTAACATCTATACATACAGGAAAAAAAAACCCAAATTCTTTTGCATTTCTTAATGTTTCAAGGTGCCAAGTCCAAAAATGTAAAAATTTTGGGGTCATTTCCTGACTGTTCACTATACTTTCCCTCTGTAATGTATAACAAGCAGGAAAAGTAAAAATAAAATTAAACTGTTCAGGAACATAATAATATAAATCAATATCAAAAAATTATTAAATTTTTTAACAAAATAGTATGCATTATATTCTTTCTTAAAGGAAATTCTGACTTTTGGTGTTAATATATTTTTTAAAAAACAACAAAACTTACAAAAATCAGAAAAACATGCAAGTTTTGACAGTAGCCAATTCTGTCATTTTCAAAGTTCAAACATTAAATGGTTTTTCAAGTCAAAATGGTTGAATTTGAATGGCATTTAAATTCTGAATTTGAATTGAAATTCTGTTCAAAACTCAATTGTTTTGACTTCAAAAACCATTCAACATTCGAAATATATGCTTGATAATGACAAAACTTACTACTGTTAAAACTTCTTGCATGTTTTTGTGATTTTTTGTTAGTTTTGTTGTTTTTAAAAAAAATATATTAATTTATCACCAAAAGTCAAAATTTCTTAAATATCTTCTCTGATGTATAGTGCAATCTAAATTTTTGTTTCATTCTTTTTCAAATTTTAACTAAATTATAAATGTATACAAATGTTTATGAAAAATAAAAAATTTAAAATTTTTAGGCATCTGTTAAGTATTCTTAAACGGTATCAGGCCCACCAGTGGCCAAACAGTTCCGTTCCCTGAACACTAGTTCAGTTGTGGATTTGCGCAGGCTGGCCACGTAGAGTTTTCTGAGTTTCCTCCACATCTGTAATGCTTGAATAAGAGCCAGTTACCCTTAAAAAGACCTCCAGGAAAGCATCCCCCTAGGCAGATTGCCCAAGTGCTGCGTTTCCATAACTTAACAACAAACACTAATTGCACATCAGTATTTTAAATATTACACTATTATTAATTCATTGAGATTTTTAATGTTAGAAACATTAAAAAATACTGATTATGAATGTTTTCTTGAATCAATAATTTATTTATTACAGTAACTTGTATTACTAAATATGTTATATTATATAAATTATTATATTTAACTGTTTAATTAACATGATATATATAATAGTTATTATTTTTATATTAAATTATCGAATATTAAAAAACAACACCCACAATATATGTATATAATTTTTCATTTTGTTTCTAGTAGTTGGCAAGGAATTTAAAGCCAAAAATATGTAATAAATAAGAATATTCTGTGTTACAAAACAGGACTGGTTTTTATTGTTAAAGATTTAGTTAAAGTGTAATGATTTAGTGTAAAAAGTTACATTAAATATAAAAATATTTTCTGTTTCTTTTAAATAAACCTCTTCAGTCTACTCTCAGTTTATGTGTAAGAAAAGAATTTAGATCTGAAAATGAAATGAACTGAATTCTAATATGTAATTGTTAACACAAGAGTCTGAAGTAATTGATACATGCATCACTTCCAATTAATCGAACAAAAGCTTTTGGAACAAACAGCACCAAAGTTGAGAATGGAAGAAGTAATTCATATCAAATAATATTGAAAGAAATCTCTTAATTATTGAGTTACAAAAAGGACAATGCTTCAACAACTTGCAAATAAATGTCCATAAAAACTAGGAGATAATAAATTAGATAAAAAGCTTCTTAAAAACAAT